TACCTTGATAAATTTGTTTTATAAAAAGACCACTAACCATACCCTAATGACAGAATTCAATAACCTTGTATCATCCTCCTCCTCTTTTAACTCTTTATGCTACAAAACACGTAGATAATCTTTCAATGAAATGGTTTTCTTTAACTTTCTCTAACTTCTTCTTTGCCTATTTTCCCTCATGTTCCTTAAACATGACTACTTTGATTAAAAAAAAAAAAACTTTCCCTCTATACTTTCTCCTTTAATCATCTCCTTTAAGTGATTAACTCCCAATTAAGTAGCTTTAGACTTAACTTTACCCTGATCCCCTTACCAAATGTATAAACTTCCAAAAACTGTCCATCCCAGAGCCCCATCCTAGCAATGAGTATAGGGAAGGGAAGGCTGTCCTTGATGATTCCTATGTAGAATGGGAGAAAGGGTGATAGTCAAAACTAGAACGTACCCGTTGAGAAGTAGACACGCCATAAACAAGGAAATAAAGAAATACACGTCAATAAAGTAAAATGCCAAAGCCAGGAAGGCCACAAGGAAAAGGAGCATATTTGTATGATCAGACACAGAGCTGGAAAAGATAAGGGAGACATACAGTTGGAGCTCCAAGATGAGAGGGATCTCATGCATTACAAGGAGTGATGTCTGATACTAGCAGATTCTCAGAAAGTATTTGACAAATAAAAGAATGATAAGAGAGTAAAGATATTCCATGATAAATCTTTTGATTACCCTCCCCACTGATCCTTATCTAGTTGGTTTTAAACATTTGCATTTTGTATAGGCCAGCAAGCCAGAGGTAGCCCTGGAGGGACCAACCTCATTTGCAAATTCAGTATCTGTAAATCTAAACTCATCTATGTTCCACTCAATGTCTTTTCCTTTCTTATATCTCTGTTCCTATTATCAAAATTTGCAACAGTTAAATAATATTTGTATTCCAGTTCCTATATCTATATACAGGAACTAGTCAGTCCCTATTGGGACTAGTCATTCAGCAAAGTTTAACAATTCCTGTGTAATATTTCTCTAATACCATTCATATCTATTGATTCTTTATAGATCAGGATCCCATTACCATAGCCTGAACTGTAATAATAAGGTAATCAGTTTCCATATTTCCTCCTGTAGCAAAGTAATTCTTCATATCACATTCTGGCAAGCAAAGGGTTTAGTCATGTAACATTTGTACTCAAATATACGTATGCCCAGAGACTGAGAAATCAAGTCCACACTGAAATTCAAATGCTTCTTGACTGTATTTCAATCATCTCTAGCTTTATTTTCACCATCTTTATATATCTGAATCTTCCCCAGCTACAGTCAGTGTTATTTATCTTTCCCACATTTTGTGTTATTTCCTGTTATTTGAACATTCTGTTCTGCTTGTTTAAGGTTGCTCCTTTCTTTTCTTTTCATATAAAAATACATCCTTCCAGATTCAGTTCAAATCCCTCCTCATCCATTAACATTTCTCGTAATGCTTAAAGAACAAATTGGCCTTACTCAAAATACTGAAGATACTCTTCAGCCATGGTATTCATTTGGCATGTAATGCCTTGTGTCACTTCTGCTGTTACGCTATATAACTGTCCTTTTCTGTTGTATTGTACAAATTGTTGTATATATTTATATTTTATTTGGCCTGCAAAATTATACCCTTCTTATAAGGGTCATTTCTTAAACATCTCTGTACCCTAATAGCACACAGATATCCCAGTGTCTTGAATTAACTGGTTCATAAATCATTCATTTGATATTTTAAAAATCTGTCCCAAACTAACTGTAGCCTATAACTAACTATGGGCAATAAACTCTAAGCCAAGATCATACAGAAACAGATGGAAGAATTATAATGGTAACATTTCAATTTTATTTGTCAAACAGAAAATCCTCAGAGAGAAATTTCCCAAAATCAAGACTAAAATTTTTTGAGAAATATAAAGAGTTCTCCACCAGAATGATCTGAGAAAAAACAAGTATAAATCTCTATAGATAAAATGACAGATGAATATTTGTCGAATATCTGACAAATATTTCCTCATCTCTTTCTACTTCTTTCCAAACACAATGCTAGAAACACTTTCAGAGATAATGTTTATGGATCTACACTAAAGGATTTTTTAATTCCGGATTTCACACCCCAAAACATTAGTCCTTCTTCATTTTTCTTCTAAGAAACACACCCCCAATGAACTTCGAAGATTCTATTTAGCATCTGCTGGTTTGGTTTGGGTGATTACAAAAAAAATGCTTATTTTAAAAATGCATACATTTCTGAAAATGTACAGCAATTCTTACAAGCTAAAACTGTACATTAATAATGTTATTGATATAATATATTATATTCTTAATATTATATATCATTACTGTGTCAACTATTAATTCTATGTAGGATTTATTTCTTAATAATACTATAGAATTGATATCACAAACTAATGAGTAAATATAAACATAGCTCACATAGTCTACTATACAATTTACACTCAGTCCTTACCTTCAGTATTTGTCATCTTACTTTCCTGAAAAA